GCAGCCACTGCACTCCAGTCTGGGCGGCAGAGTGAGACTCCAACTCAAAAAAAAAAAAAAAGAAAGGAAAAGCAAGATAATTGAGGAATTTTCAGAGCAGTGAGCCAGGCATCTCAAACTGTTGCCGTCTGTGAACTCTGACTCCAATTAGTAACAGAGGCTCTTAGAAACGCCAGCTTTAAAAAACTTTGTCAATCTGGAGTCATTTTAATTTTATTAATTACATTGTATTTTACAACATATCAGTCTGTCACTGATGAAAATGAAAAATAAGACAGAAGCAGTCCATAACAGATAATGTGAGAAGAAATGAAATAGACAACATTAAAATCATGAAATACTACTAATTAAAAAAAAGATGGGCTGGACCTGGGTGACTCACACCTATAATCTCAGCACTTTGGGAGTCCGAGGTGAGGATTGCCTGAGCCCACAGGTTCGAGACCAGCCTGGACAACTTGGTGAGACCTCGTTTCTACAATAAATCAAAAAGTTAGCCGGGCGGGGTGGCATGCGTCGGTGGTTCCAGCTACTTGGAAGCCTGAGGCGGAAGGATGGCCTGAGCCCAGCAGGTAGAGGCTGTGGTGGCCGTGAGCATGCCATTGCATTCCAGCCTGGCTGACAGAGTGAGACTCCGACTCAAAACAACAACAAAAATGTGTTTAAGAATGGACACGTTATGACGATCTTTAATGTTCAATTGACATGGCAGAATTTCCCAACCTCTCAATCATCATGCAAATGAAGATTAAGTCACAAGTTAGCATCAAAATCCTCCCCCCATCCCAGGTGTCGTGAGCACGCTGGCCAGTAGGAGGACTGGGAAAGCCCTTTAGAAAGCTCTGAGCCCAAAACATCCGCACCCGCTGCAATTCCACTCGCGGCGGACAAAGGCTCGCCCCAGTCATGAGGGGACACTCCGGTGGCAGCGGTGAGTCCAGCGATGGCCCCGCAGTGAAGACAGCACGTGCCCCCAGCAGGTGGGTGACGGGGACATTCGCCCCAGAAAGTCACCAGTGGTAGAGCCCGACCAGCCACCTTCAGGCCCCTGATCAGGGCCACAAGACCTGCAGGACTGCAGACAAACCTGCTATGAATCCAGGAACTACCTGGAGCCTGAGTGTTTTCTGTCCACAGAGTCATTCTCCTCTTCGTACCCAGACATGGTGGTGGAGACCGAGGATCCCTCGAAGGGGTCTTGGGATGAGGAGAACTCCAAGAAGTCAGAGAATGAGGGCATGTCCGGCAGGAATTCCGAGGAGTAGGGGTTCTGGGGCCAAAAGGCGTCTGGGTCTGGGCCTGACATTGAACCTGGAGTTGGAGCTAGATCTGGGATCCTGGCCGGGCCTGACATTGGGCTTGACATTTGGTCAAAGCCTGACATTGGGCCTGGGATGGTGGCTGGGCCTGGGATTGGGCCTGACATTGGCCTTAGGCCTGATACTGAGCCTGACATTGGGGTTGAGATGGTGGCTGGGCCTGGGCCTGATACTGAGCCTGAGCCTGACATTGGGGTTGAGATGGTGGCTGGGCCTGGGCCTGACATTAGGTCTAAGCCTGACATTGGGCCTGGGATGGTGGCTGGGCCTGGGATTGGGTCTGACATTGGCCTTGGGCCTGACACTGAGCCTGAGCCTGACATTGGGGTTGAGATGGTGGCTGGGCCTGGGCCTGACATTAGGTCTAAGCCTGACATTGGGCCTGGGATGGTGGCTGGGCCTGGGATTGGGCCTGACATTGGCCTTGGGCCTGATACTGAGCCTGACATTGGGGTTGAGATGGTGGCTGGGCCTGGGCCTGACATTGGGCCTGGGATGGTGGCTGGACCTGGGATTGGGCCTGACATTGGCTTTGGGCCTGATACTGAACCTGAGCCTGACATTGGGGTTGAGATGGTGGCTGGGCCTGGGCCTGACATTAGGCCTAAGCCTGACATTGGGCCTGGGATGGTGGCTGGGCCTGGGATTGGGCCTGACACTGGACCTGAGCCTGACACTGGAGTTGAGATGGTGGCTGGGCCTGGGCCTGACACTGGGTCTGACGTTAGGCCTTGGCCTGACATTAGACCTAAGCCTGACACTGGGGCTGGAGTGGTGGCTGGGCCTGACGCTGGACCTGAGCCTGACACTGGGGTTGAGATAGTGGCTGGGCCTGGGATTGGGCCTGACATTGGGCCTAAGCCTGACATTGGGCCTGAGCCTGACATTGCTGTTGAGTTAGAGGCTGGGCCCCGGCCCGACACTGAGCCTGACATTGGGCCTAGGCCTGTCTTTGGGGCTGAAATGGTGGCTGGGCCTGACATTAGCCTTAGGCCTGACCCTGACATTGGGGCTGGGATGGCTGGGCCTGGGATTGGGCCTGCCATTGGCTCTGGGCCTGAGATCTGGCCAGGCCCCGGTCCCTGGGCAGTCAGGACCCCCTGCTGGGCGCTGCACCCAGGACCCCCCCAGGCCTGGTGGAGGCTGCAGACCGCGGCTTCTGCTGCTGAAGAGAGTCCCGAGGAGCTGGGCCCGGAGGAGCTCCAGAAACCAGGACCCTGCGGGCACACAGGGACCCCTGAGACGGGGGCAACAGCTCCGGGGCAGCGGGGCGCAGTGCGGACTCCACGGCCTGCGCCTTGCTGCCCGGAGAGGAGTGGGAGCTGCTGCTGGTGCTGCTGCCGGGAGCGCTTGGCACGGCGGTTCTTGAACCACACCTGGGAGGGCGGAGGCACAGGGAGGAGGTTACCAGGGGGCTCAGGTGAGGCCGCTGGGGGCGGGGCTGGCCTGCCGCCTTTCCTCCACCTCCAGACCCTATTGGCGGACTCCAGGCTCTGGGGGCGGGGTTAGCAGAAGCAGGACAGCCCAAGGGCCCAGGAAGGTCTGAGGGGAGTCGGGGCTGGGGGTGGGGGAAGGGCAGAGCAGGCCCTGAGATCTGGCACTGGAGACCCCGTGGGGCGACCACCTGTGCGGGTCGTGTTGGCGGGTGTGTCGGCAGAGTGGAGGCCGGACTGGAGGGCAGCCCAGGGTCTACACCGCGGGCTCCCTCGCTGGCGACCCTCTGCTCCTGCGCCCCTGCGGGCTTCTCGCCTGCGCGGGGGAGGGGGAGGAGGTGGGCGCGGCCCTGGAGGGGGAGGGGGCGCCCCGGACTCCTGGGGGTCAGACCTGCACTTGGTGCTCCATCAGGTTGAGCTCGGCCGCCAGGGCTACCCGGGTTTCGTAGGTCGGGTAGAAATTCTTCTCAAAGCTCTCCTCCAGCACGGCCTGCTGTCTCTTGGTGTAGACTGTGCGCTCCTGCCGCTGCCTCTTTGGGGGCTCTGGGGACAGTCGGGGTCCTGGGGGAGAAAGCAGGTCAGAGGAGGCCCGCAGACATTCCCCGCCAGGGACTCCCTTCTCCCCGGGGCCAGGTCTAGACTGGAGGCAGCGCTGTGGGGAGTGAGACCGGAGGCCCTTGGCCAGCCCTGGCTCTGCGCCTTCCAGCTCAGACCCTGCACCTCTCTGGGCCTCGTGTCCACTTTCAATTTTTGCGAGACGGGATCTGACTCTGTAGCCCTGGTTGGAGCGCAGTGGCGTCGTCATAGCTCCCTGCAACCTCGACCTCCGGGACTCAAGCGGTCCTCCCACCTCAGCCCCTCCCCCCCCCAGTAGCTCGGACTACAGACATGCAACACCAAAAGGCTAACTTTTCTTCCTTTTTGTAGCGATGGGGTCCGGCTATCTTGCCCAGATTAGTCTTGAACCTCTGGCCTCTGTGGCTCCTCCCACCTCAGCCTCCCAAAGTGCTGGGATTACAGGTATGAGCCAGGGCACCCAGCCACTGTCCACAAGTGTGGTGAGGGCGTGATAAAGGCTCCTGTGTCACCCCAGCTCCCACGAGGGGGCAGCGGGCGAGGCGGGGTCCTCAGCCCGGAGCCTCCCTCTGGGGCCTCAGGCCTGCCCTTCCTCCCGCAGCCGCCCCCACCCCGCACCCGTGGGTGGAAGGGACCCTGGCACTCTCAGGGGCGGCCCCCTGCCTGGTGCCTGCTGAACTGACGGTTGAGTCCTCCCGTCAGGGCCGGAGCCGCCAGGCAGCTCAGTCCTCCTCTGAGCCCAGGCCTGGCCCCTGCATCCCCCGCCCTGGGCCACCCAGGCCCGGCACCTCCCACCAGGGCTCACCCGAAGGCTCCGTGGGGTCCTGCATCCTGGCTCCGGCTCTGTTCCGGAAGGTGAGCCTGCACTCCCTTGGCCCCGTGCTTAAGTCTCACCTCCTCGCCGTGCCCACCCAGGCCCACCCTGCAGGGACCCTCCCTTACCCACCCCAGCCTGTAGGCCCCGCCTCCTGGAGGGGCTGAATGATGCATTAATCCTTTCAGGACTGAGAAACTCCTGCCTGCCGGGCTGTGCCGGGACACCTTGGTGGCCAACTCAGCCTGGGTGTCACCCTCCTGGGGCTCAGGCCTTCCACACAGGGTCAGGGGTGGCGTCCACATCATGACCCCAGTCGGGGTTCCCATCTCAGGAAAGGCCCCGCCAGCCAGCCAGTCCCCAGGGGTCCCCCACTTCATCCACCTACTGGGAGCCCCACCTCTCCACCCCAGGTGTCTGCCTCCCCTCCCCCACCCCATCTCCCCGTCTTGTCTAGCCACTGTCCCTCCAATCTGGATGACCCCATAGCCTCCTATCTAGAGGCCACTGGTCCCTGCCATCCATCCTCAGAGTTGCCCCCAGATGCCTGGGCATGGGCCAAAGACATGGTGGACATTCGAGTGAGCCACTGCTGGTCTATCCTTGGAGTGAATGAACCAGTGTCCTATTTACACATGAAACTCAGGCGCTGGTTCCATGTGGGATGACCCCACAGCCTCCTCTCTGGTCCCTGGGGCCACTCTGACTCCTACCATCCATTCTTGAAGTCTCCCCGCTCCCAAGCCTGGGCATAGGGAGGACTCAGGACACACTGGCCCTGCCGGTTTGGTTAGGTGTCTGTCCTGGATTTGCCCATGGCACAAAGGTCTGATGGGCCTTCCAGAGACCAGTTGACTTCTCCTTATGAGTAAGCAGCCTGTCTTCCCATTGATTCCAGTTTCCATGCCGGGCTCACAAACTTGGTTCAAGTGGACGTGGATCTAACCCCTCAGAGCAACACAGACCTGCATCCGAACAACAGACAAAATGCCTCCTTGGTGCCTCCTTGGTCCCCGCTGGGGACTCTTGCGTCAGAAGAGAACAAGACTCGCTGTGCTCATGCCCCAAGGAACTGTTTTGTTGATATTTTTGTTGTTGTTGTTGTTGTTTAGTCAGGGTCTCACTCTGTCACTCAGGCTGGAGTGCAGTGGCACGATCACAACTCACCACAGCTTCAACCCTTCTACCTCAGCCTCCTGAGTAGCTGGGTCTACAGGCACACGTGACCACACCCGGCTAACTTTTTGATATTTTGTAGGGATGAGGTCTCACCATGTTGCCCAAATTCCTGGTCTCCCAAAGTGCTGAGATCACAGATGTGAGCCACCACACCTGGCCTGGTACTTTTATTATTTTCCATAGAAGATGAAAATTAGATTGAAAATCAAATACAAACAGGGCTCGGTGGCTCAGCCTGTGATCCTGCGCCTTGGGAGGCTGAGGTGAGTGAATTGCCTGAGCCCGCGGGTTCGAGACCCG